GGGGGTTCCCTGATTCTCTGCGGGTTCTTCCCTGCTGAGGACAATTCTCTTCCTGTCCCAGCCTGTGATTGGGGGGCTGCGCCCAGGGCTCTAGTGGTTTGGGCCCCAGCCTCATGGGTGGAATGCGCCAGCCACCCCCCCAGGCTAGATGAGGGGGCTAAGGGTCAGGGTAGGCATTTGTTGTGCCCCTTTTTGACCTTTGTAGGCCAGAGCTGGGTGAGGGGCTGGACAATGAGCCTCCTCTTCCTGAAAGAAGGAATCTTGGTGGAGACAATAAGGCCCTGTCTGCTCTGGCGTGGGGGGCGGTGGCTGACTCAACTTTGCATACCCCCCCGACCAGGCCCTAACAAATGTCATCAAGAAATGGGGGCAATTTTCCCTTTACCGCCCTGGGCAGTCCCCACCGCACCCTTCTTTCTTTCCTCATCTGCTCTTGCCTTTTCTCCCATGACTTGACCCCACTTTGTTCTCTGCCAGCTCTGACTTTTCCTGCCCCTCAGTTCTACCCTAGCCTGTGTTGGGTTGAAGGATGGAGGGCAAGGGCCAGGGGTGCTGCTGGTGTTTAAAGCTAGTAGTCTCTGCTGATTTGGGGGAGTTCCAAAAATAAGGGGCCTCATAGGGTTGAGAAGAGACTTCTGAGGGGCCCTTTGCTTGGCTGGGGGGGGTGAAGGGAGTGGGATCTGGACCCCACTGAACTGACCAAGCTCCAGCTGTGGAGGAGGCTTGTGGGAGGGGGCAGGAATGGGAGGGCTCTGTCTGGCCCGCCCCTCCTCTCCTTTGCAGCCCGCGCAGCCCGCCCACCAGTCTGAGCTGCTGCTTCTGAGGCTGGTGGCCTGAAGTCTCCAGGAGAGGGGGAAAGACAGGTGGGGAGAGAACGTCAATGGGGAAAGACTGGGGGTCACTCAGAGTCTTAGAGTTGAGTGTGAGTTGGGTGTGTTGTCTGAGTGAGGGGAGTGGGTCCAGGGTGTATGTGGTGGTGTGGGTGCGTGAGGGTAGCAGGAATGTGTTTAAGGTGGGGTTTCCAGGTGTGTGGGTGTGTACAAGGTGTAAAGGGGTGTAATGGTGCATATCTGATATTTTGAAGGTAGGAGGATTAGGATGCAAGAGGGCACGTCAGAGACAGGAGAGTCATGAGGGGAGATGGAGGGAGTGTGTCGGGCTGTGAGCTTGTATGGTGCTGCATGGACCACGATGTGCTAAAGGAAGGGGGGTGTTAGTTAAATGTACCTGCGGGTGTAGACAATCCTGGTGGCTAGTGCAAGCGTGCAAATGAATGTCCTGCCCCACTTAAAGGGCACCAGCAGACTGCTCTTGTAAGGGTTGGAACTGGAGAAGTTAACAGGAGAGGGGAAGGGCCTCCATTAACCTCTTCTTGCCTGCAGCTGGCAGAGTCTGAAGTCAAGGAGAAGCATGGGGTCCGGGGCTGAGCTGTGCACTGTCTTAGGCGGACTCTCATTCCTCCTGCTACTGATGACAGGCGAGGGGGCCAAGGGTGGATCCCTCAAAGAGAGGTGATAACAGAGGGGGCAGGGCCAGGGGTGAGGTCTTCATGAAACCTGGGGCTGGGGCTTCACAGGTGGCAAAACAAAGTTCAGAATGGGGGGGAGGCTGTCATTTTTAGGGAGGGTGGGGCCTCAGTGGAGCCTGAAGGGAAGTGGGGCTCCTGGCTCCCCAGGGCCTGGCCCACTCAATGCCTCTCACTTTCCCCCGCATGGGTGCAGTCAGGGGGTCTGCTCCAAGCAGACGCTCGTGGTTCCACTCCGTTACAACGAGTCCTACAGCCAACCCGTATATAAGCCCTACTTGACTCTGTGCTCTGGAAGGCGTGTCTGCAGCACCTACAGGTGAGGGGCGGGGAGCCTGGGCTCTGAGGTCTCTCAAGAGGAACGAACCCCCAAAACCGGGACCAGGACCCATATGCCAATGTCCAGAGCCCGGCGCTGTGTTCCAGGACCACGTACCATGTGGCTTGGCGGGAGGTGAGGAGGGAAGTGCAGCAGACCCACGCCGTGTGCTGCCAGGGCTGGAAAAAGCGGCATCCCGGGGCGCTCACCTGTGATGAAGGTGAGGCTGGGTCTTCCCAGGCCTCGGGGGAGGTGCGCCCGGCCGGGCTGGAGAGCCAGGCCTTCCGCTCGGTTCTGAACCCCGCTTCCTGCGCCCGCAGCCATCTGCACCAAGCCCTGCCAGAACGGAGGCGTCTGCGTTCGGCCAGACCAGTGCGAGTGCGCCCCGGGCTGGGGTGGGAAGCACTGTCACGTGGGTGAGTTGTCTCGCCCTCCCTCGGGGTGGCGCCAGGACCTCCCTACCCGCTGTGGCGCCCCCCTCCGCCCCGCCCCCCTCAGCCCCCTCCTCTTTCCGGTAACTAGACGTGGATGAATGCAGGGCTGGCGTCACTGTCTGCTCGCACGGATGCCTCAATACAGCAGGCAGCTTCACCTGTGGCTGCCCCCAGGGCCTGGTGCTGGGCCCGGACGGGCGCACTTGCGCAGAAGGGGCCCCAGAGCCCCCAACCAGTGCCAGCATCCTCAGCGTGGCCGGTGAGTGGGTGGGTGCGTGGGGCATGTGGAGGGCCGGACCAGAGGCGGGGCCAGGGCAGTGGTCACGCTCGGCTCGCTCCTTTGTCCCAGTTCGGGAGGCTGGACACGATGAGCGTGCCCTGAGGCGGGCGATTCGCGAGCTGCGAGGGCGCCTGGAGCGGCTGGAGCAGGTGAGTGGAGATGCCTGGGGCCAAGTCTGGGTGCCAGACCCCACCCCCCAACACTCTGAGGTGTCTCTTCCTTTGTAGTGGGCCAGTCAGGCTGGGGCCTGGGTCCGAGCAGTGCTGCCCATGCCCCCAGAAGAGCTGCAGCCCGAACAGGTGGCAGAGCTGTGGGGACGAGGCGACAGGATTGAGTCTCTCAGTGACCAGGTTCTGCTGCTGGAGGAGCGGCTAGGTGCCTGTGAGTCCCCATGCCCCTCTCTGTGGGGACCCCCATCTCCCAACAGCTGCCCCCAGCTCTTCCAGACACATTTTCCCAACTCAGTTTTCTCTTGTCCAAAATCTCTTCTCCACTCACTCACCCCATACCTTCCCCAGATTTCCGCACTTTACCACCCCTTCTCCTGGTCTGTCTCCAACTTGGTGGTTCCACTTATTGGTGAGTGAGACTGTCAATCCTTCAGTGTCCAGGGCCCACTCCAGGCATCCAAGAAGTCCCCAGTCAGTGTGTCTGCCTGTCTCCTTGTCATTAACCAGGCTCCTGTGAGGACAACAGCCTGGGCCCAGGCCTCAATCGGCGGAGCTAAGGAGCCTCTGCAGAGCCCCTGCCCCACTAATTTATACAGAGACTGGACCCACTAGTCCTCTGGGATTGGCCAGCTGGGGAGCTGCAGATGAGGCCATCTGCCACTAAGGAGCAATGAATGATGGAAACTTTGGAAAGCTGAAGAAAGGAGGACTCGGCCTGCCCCCGAGTCTTCTGGCTGGGGCAGAGGCCTGGAGAACTGCTTTTTTAACTCCTTAACAAACGCAGCCACAAAGTGCCCAGATCTCTCTCAGTCTTTATTCTCGGTTTCTTGCTGTTATCCAGATTATGAATAAAAATCAACCACGCAAAACTGGGTCCCACCCTCTCCTTTTGCTCCCAGCCCCCCTCCGTGGTTGTGAGCACAGGTCTGGGGTGGCAGGCAGGGAGTGGCTAATGCCACAGGGAGGAAATGAAAACTGGCTCAGAGAGGGGAAGCCTCAAAAGAAAGAGAAATAAATTAAAAGCCCTCCCATCCCCTCCAGCCAGGGTTCAGTTCCTTTCCCCAACTCCCCAGGGTGAAGTGAGTGCAGCACCTGATGTCTGCCTCTTCCCCTTGTGTCTGGTTAGAATGGTACAGCAGGGCTGTAGGGGGCTTGGTGGGGCCAGGACCACTGAACAACTATACCCAGGGGATGAGGGGAAGCAGAAATGTGGCATCCAAGAGTGTGCTCAACCCTGGGCACTTGGACAAGGGCAGGGATGAGACCTCTGAGTGACAGAGTCCAGCCCCCACTGACAGGAGGCTCCACGGGAAGGAGGGAGAAGGTGCTGAGGAATGTTTCCAGGATGAGCCTGGGAGAAGTATTCCAGGCATCAGCTTCCAGCCACAGCGTGAGGAGTCGTCCCCACAAATGGATGAGTCCACTGAATCCGTGGACATGGGAGTGAGAAATTGTTCCACAGAATGGATGAATCCACTGGCCAATGTGGGGTGTAGAGGTAGAGAAGACCACAAAGGAAGAGGGTCCACTGGGGACAGAATGGAGTGTTCCTACCCTTGTGTAGGCTGAACCACTGAAGATGAGGGGGAGGCAACTGTCCCACAGACAGGATGGCACGGAAGGTGGGGTTCAGAGTGGAGGCCGCACCTAGGCAAGAGTCTGTTGGGGGGCGGTGCTGGGAAGGGGGCAGGGAGCAGTTCTGTAACCACATTCACTTCAGAAGTTGAAGATTCCAAAGAAGAGAACAGGTGGGGAGAGGGGAAATGAGGAAGAGGGCTTGGCCCAGCTTCAGGCCCACTGGGCTGGTAGGTGTGGAGACAGCGGTGGGGTGTGGGGGGGTAGATGGGAAGGGAGCTCAGAGCTGGGCCTCGCCCACCCCTCCAGGCTTCTTCAGATAGTCACCACCACCCCTGCCATCAGTGGAGATTTCCCGGAAAACGGTGAGCATGGAGTGTCGGACTGTGTCGGCCAGAGCTGGGACGTCATCTGGTGTCAGCCCTTCTGTGGGCACTGGGGGCAGCACCCGTACCTGACATCGCCCTGGGAGGGGGGTGAGCACCATCATGGCCTGTGTACCGGGACTCTGCCCACAGGTGGCGCCTGGCTTCGGAGCTCTCCTGATACTTAGTCCCCTGCTCAACCTTTCAGTTCTCTGCCTTGGACAACTCCCCCTCAGCTTACCAGCTGCCACCTGTTCTCTGAGGCCCTCCCTTGCAAAGCCTTCCCCAGCCCCAGTCCAGACACCTCAGCACCCTGCCGGCCCCACTGTCTGGGTTTAGTGTTCACCGCCAAATGCTATAACTGCACACACAGGCTTTATCTTTCCGCCTAGACAGTAATGGCCTCTCTTGGAGGGACCAAGTGTTACCCATCTAGCAAGGTATAGCGGGTGCTTAATAAATAATACTTATTGGCTGATGTGGGGTCACATTAGATAACCCTGTGGACATCTCAGAGCTGACACTGACTGAAGCTCCTGCCCCACGGGGATGTCCCTCTAGCCTCTCCCATGGCCCTTCTGGCCACCCCCGAACCCCAGATCTGCACAGAGCCCTCACCTGAAGTGAAGCGGCGCTCCTTCTTGCAGTAGAAGTCTTGGTAGGAGGACATGACTATGGGAACAATGGGAACCTGAGCAAGAGGAAAAGCGATCAGCCCACGGCTCCCTGCTGAGGTCCCCAGGACCAGCCTCTGCCAAGAGAGGAAGGGATGGTGGGGGCTTGAGGGGCCGTAGCAGACGGGAAGGAGTAATCACCTGGGCCTGCACTGCGAGGTGGAAGGCGCCACGTTTGAAGGGCAGCATGGAGCCATTGTGGTTTCTCGTGCCCTCAGGAAAAACCCAGACCCGTACCTGGGAAAGAAAGAGAGTCAAGGAAGACACATATATGGAGGGATCAGAAAATGGTTGTGATGCTGTAATGGGACTTGTGAGGCCTGGTGGCCCTGCACATCAGTTTATTTACAACTATTCTACTCCATAACCCCCATTTCCCCAGGGTGACTCACATCCTGTGTGAGCAGGGTCTGGGCGACCTCAGACATGACACTGATGGCATCCCCAGTGCGCTTCCGGTCAATGAAGATGACTCCCGCTAGCCAGCAGGCCAGCCCGGCAGAGCCGGCCCACAGCAGCTCGCGCTTGGCAATGGGCACACAGCGGCCTGGCAGTACCTCCATCATCCCTAGGGCAGAGGTGGGGGCGGGCGAGGGGTGGGGAAGCCCCAGAAAGTAAGAAAAGGTGACTAAAGGTGTATTATCTTGCTTATGAGGGCAGCTCTACCCCTGGCAAAGAGGCCTGCAGGGGGAGCAATGGGGCAACGCCCCAGATGAGGGAGGGTTGAGGACCTCTAGGGGGAGGAGATACCAGGGAGGGCTGCAGGAGGATGGGCGTGGCTAGGGGAGGCTGCTCACCAAGCAGGTCGAGGGAGCTCTGGTGGTTGGAGACAACAACGTAGGGCTGTGAAGGAGGGAAGTGGTGAGCCCCTCGTACCTCCACTCGGATCCCGTACAAGTATTTGATGTGGAGCAGCATCAGACGCAAGATCCTGTGGAGGTTCCACATGGCAAGGGGTTCCAGCGGGACCTGCTGACATCCACCTGCAGGCCCCAGCCCCCCTCCCCGGCCCCTGTCTTCCTGGGCATCTTTGCAGTCTTCTCCGCTTCCTTTTCCCTGGGCTCGCTCAGTGTCTCCTACACACTCAGTGCCCTCCCCAGCCCCTGCTTGCTTCTGACCCTAAGGTTCCCTCATCACCCAAAACCCCTTGCCCCTCACTTCATGTTCTCGACGTTGCGTCCTCGCACGGCACACACAGGGATGGCGAGCACAGCCAGGAAGAGGATCCAGCCATTGTAGAAGGCCATCTTGAAGAAGTACTTGGCACTGGGGCTGCAGAACCACAGAGTGGGCAGCAGCAGGGAGAGCAGCAGCAGTAGAGGCCACACCCCTGGCCACAGCTCCATTCTGGTCACCTGCAGGGGACGGGGCGAAGGACAGAACCAGTGGGCCCGGTTCCTGGATTGGGGACGGGGCGGGCAAGGTGCAGAAGGCAGGGTCTGGGGGGGCTCTGGGGGCCAGGGCTCCCATTAAAACCTATCCAGAAAGCCTCTCTAGGATGGGGGCGGTGGGGATGGGAGCTCAGGACTGCTCTCCCACCCCTCTCCCTGAAGGATCCAGATACATTCAGACATGAGACACAAGACATGGACATCCACAACTCACAGACACATGACAACAACAGGACATTAATAATAGCTAACGCTTGTAGCTAGTAAGGATCTTATAATGGTCTGTCGCTCTGCTGTCCAATATGGTAGCCACCAGCCACATATGGCAACTGAGCACTTGAAATGTGGCCTAGTCTGCATTGAGGGATGCTTAGAGATATAAAATACATATCAGATTTCAAAGACTCTGAAGGAAAACCAGAATGTAAAATATCCCATTAATAATCTTTTATATTGATTACACTGTGAAATTATAACCTTTTGGACATACTGGGTTCAATACACTAAAATTAATTTCACCCTGCTACTTTTACCTTTTTTATGTAGCTACCAGAAAATTAAAAATTACATATGTGGCTTGCATTATAGTTCTGTTGGACAGGGCTGGTCTATATACTATGTTAAGTCCTTAAATATGCAACACCCGATTTACATTTTAAAGGAGACAGACCCAGAAAGGTTAAAAAACTTACCTGAGGTGATATGACTCCTAGAGGCACTTCCTAGCTTAAAGCTAAGCAGCTTGTGCTCCTAACCACTTGGTTATGCTGCTGCCTGTATATATACACACAAATGCACACACAGCACGCAGCAGATACAGTGGAAATGACAAAACACAGACATTCTCCAGGGGCTGACTGGCAAGAATAAAGGCTCTTGTCACTAACGCAAACTCAGACACACACAGCCATACAAAGACTGACCTGTTCACACACATACGCAAACTTACAATCACACCCATGACCGATAAAGGATGGTAAATTCATACCCAGTAAAACCCCTCTCCACCCAGGCAGGTTCCCTGTTCCCAGATAAACCCATGGACATACCTATATCTATTAATCCTGCTTCCACAAACAGGCAAACAAATCCCACCACCCACTTCCCTCCCTCCCAGCAACACTGCAGGCAATGTGGTCAGACATGCAGTGTATAAGGCTTCACCAAGCGAAAAAAGGAGGGCAGAGAGTAAAAGGGTCATTACACCACCTGCCCTGGGAGAGGAAAGAGCTAAGGAGGAAGAGGCTCTTCCTCCTTCCTCCACTCTGCCCCACAGTTTGGGGCAGGGTCACAATTCACACAAATGGTGTTCAGGCAAATATCTGTCACTCATATCAAGGCCAAAGGCACGCGCTTCCAATGACAGAAGGGCTGTGCTCCAAGGTAAGTCCATTGCCAAGGGTGAAGGTAACAGGTGATAGAGGAAATGGGACTCTGCCAGCTCTAGGACAATAGGCTTTCTGAGTTGCTTCATCCTACTGCCCCCGCAAGTTGGAACAAGCGCTTCTCCCCTGGACTATTTGCAACAGTCTCCTAACTCTTCCCCTTCAATCCATCTTCCACATGGCAACCACAGATGTTTCTGTGGCACAAATTTGAGCATCTCTCTTGACCAAAGGCCCTTCTTGACAAGTTGACTTCTGCTTACACCTTTGGCCACATCCCTACAAAAGCCTTTTCGCTCTAGTCAAACTGACTTACTTCAGTTCCTCAGACACACCAGTATCTTTCACGCTTCTGTGCCATGAACATGCTGTTCCCTTTGGCTGGAATGTTCTCCTGCCTCTTCACTGCCTTATACAGTTCAGTGTCAGTTTTTGGAGGTCTTCCTGAACCCCTCCAGGCCTGTGTTTTCATTACACTT